ATGGCACTCTGCCTTCTAGCCCCAAACCCTAAATACTAAAGACCCTGAAACTCTAACCCTAACCCTTTCATTACCCTCAAACCCTAACACTATGGCACTCTGCCTCCTAACCCCAAACCCTAAATATACTAAAGACCCTGAAACTCTAACCCTAACCCTTTCATTACCCTCAAACCCCTAATACTATGGCACTCTGCCTTCTAACCCCAAACCCTAAATATACTAAAGACCCTGAAACTCTAACCCTAACCCTTTCATTACCCTCAAACCCTAACACTATGGCACTCTGCCTGCTAACCCCAAACCCTAAATACTAAAGACCCTGAAACTCTAACCCTAACCCTTTCATTACCCTCAAACCCCTAATACTATGGCACTCTGCCTTCTAACCCCAAACCCTAAATACTAAAGACCCTGAAACTCTAACCCTAACCCTTTCATTACCCTCAAACCCCTAATACTATGGCACTCTGCCTTCTAACCCCAAACCCTAAATATAATAAAGACCCTGAAACTCTAACCCTAACCCTTTCATTACCCTCAAACCCCTAATACTATTGCACTCTGCCTTCTAACCCCAAACCCTAAATATAATAAAGACCCTGAAACTCTAACCCTAACCCTTCATTACCCTCAAACCCCTAATACTATGGCACTCTGCCTTCTAACCCCAAACCCTAAATATAATAAAAGACCCTGAAACTCTAACCCTAACCCTTTCATTACCCTCAAACCCCTAATACTATGGCACTCTGCCTTCTAACCCCAAACCCTAAAGACCCTGAAACTGTAAACCCTGTGCCAGGTCTTCTTCATCCTCGTCTTCTCGGAAAAAACATTAGTTTTTTTTGTTTTAAAGTTTTTAAAAAATTTTAAAAGTTGTTTAAAGTCTTTAAAAGTCTTTCAAATTCTTTTTAAAGTTTGTAAAAGCTTTTAAAAGCGTTTAAAAGTCTTTTAAAGTATTTTTAAAGCTTTTAAATGTATTTTAATGTTTTTAAAAGTCTTTTAAATATTTTAAAAGCCTTTTAAAGTTTTGAAAAGTCTTTTAAAGTTTGCAAAAGTCTTCTAAAAGTTTCTAAAAGTCTTTTAAAGTCTTCTAAAAGTTTTTAGAATGTTTTTTCTTGCATTTGAAAGTTTTTAAAAGTCTGTAAACGTCTTTAAAAGCCAACTCTGTCGAAAAAGCCCTGTGGATCTAAACCTTGTGGTTCTGGTTCGGTGCAAAGGGGCAATGACTAGACTCCCCGCTCACTAAAGCCGCGAAGAGGTTCACAAAAGTGTATTCGCCAACACACAAGCAGGGGAAAGCCAGACATTTCATTCGCACGCAGCGGGAGAGTCTCGATTTTGTGAAACTGAAGACATTCCTCGCTTTGCGAGTGCTTGACCTATGGCTCTGATGTTCTACCACTGCGATTCACTGACCACGGCAAGCCGGGCCTCAGCACTGCACTTGCACACGCTCCGCCCCTAAAGGCAGCAAGCTATGGTGGAGGATCGGACCGTCACCCATTCTTCCATGCTGACTTGAACTATCGATTTTGAGGACTGTGCATGTCATCGGCTTTCCACTTAGGAGAAAGAGAGCCTCCGTGCCTTTTGCGCTCTGCTCACTGAGTGGATGCGACCCCTCCCCTTGCCTAGCCCCTTTGCGAGGGGTCCGTGCGAACAACCATCTCTACGTTAAAGTAAAGTCTATGCGGGAGGGAGATTCTCAGAAGTGGGAGATTCGGCGCATTCTCCAGCTCATCAGCCCCGGCCGCTCCTGGCGGAGTATCTCAGGAGTGATCTCCACCTCACCCGTGCCGGGATGAGAGACAGATGTCCGAACTGCCTTTGGCGGGGGAGGACCAAGGGGAGCAACTCCTCCCTGGTTCCGCAGCCTGGCCGCCTTGGCTTCCGTCACACTCTCCGGGTTGTCCTCCGAGCCTTTGCCAGGAGCATTAACTGGATCTGGTGGGGGAGGTCCAGAGCGTTTCACAACACTGTCCAATGAGGCAGCTTTCGCCGGAGCAACTTCCTCTGAATCACTTTCTCGGATCGCGTCGCTGGAGGGTGGCGACCTAGCCCCCCGCGAGAGTCGTCTGACCGGAGGAGGAGTACGTGAGCCCTCGCTTTGCGTGACGCTTGGGCGTCTCTGGCATGGCTAGGTCGCCTGAGAATAAAAGGTCTTGGGGGCAGAGCTTGAACCTGCACCGACACATTTGCTTCTGAGACAACTCCGAGTCAGCGGCAGAATGATGTCCTGCATGTGCTGCAGAGCGAAGGACCCTGCAAAGGCTCTCGGAACTGTGTGCGCTCCCCGAGCTTGCGAGGGGACAAACCTTGTGACGGATGCTGCGTCGAGCTCTCAGTCAGCGGCTCGTGGTTGAACAGCGACCTGAGAGAGGGCTAAGAGCACGGCTTAACGGAGATACAAATTATAAAAGCAAATTGCGTGAAGCAGAGAAGATATTTCATGCAGCGCGCAATCCCGGGATGCTGGGGAGTATCTCCGCCAGCCAGAGGGAGAAACTCCACTCTGTATGTGCTACAGTGCCCTGTTATGCCCATCGTACTTTGTACCGGACTTGAGGCTCTGAAAGAATTCGATGTCTGAAGCAGGAACATTATCGGGAGTGAGAATCACCTGATTCTTGCTCATAAAGAATCTCACCCCAGACTGAACTGCCTTCCTGGGATTGACAGCTACCAGCATAGAGGCTGATTCCCGGAATCCTGAGATGCCCGGTTTGCCATCATCTTCAGAGGCAATGAAGTGCACGTGCTGACGACCTTCGCGTCCTCGGCCTCCCTGTTTCCTTTGTCCCTTAGAGATCTTGGATTGCGGGAGAAGCCCTTGCCGTCTGATTGGATCGTAGAGGGACCAATAGGTGCCGTGATAAAGAAGGTCCGGGAGCATCTCCTCCGACATCTCAGTCAGCACCGCGTTCGGGTCCACGTCCGATCTGGAGTGGCCTTGAAGAGAGCGAACGAACTTTTCTCCATTCTTGTCTCCAAGCTCATATCTCCTTTTGGGATTAGAGCGGACCACTTCCATCAGATCCCCCGGCGTGGCTCGCTGGTCTCGGATACGCGGCCAAGCCAGCAGATCATCAAGCTTTGCCCATCCAGCACTGGTTACGGAGACGTGCGGAGAGTGCCCGTGTCGCAGGGATGCTGCCAGCGCCTTGGAGACGGCTATGAAGAACTTCGAGTCCGTGTCGGAGGAGTCATGACAGTAATCGCCAAGCTCACCAGGTTGACCCTCCCAGGCTTCAATGCCGTCCGGGTCCCGTTTGGGACCATCCGCCGGACGCGAGGAAGACGCCGCTGGCAAGGTGTGGGCTCAGCGACAGCCTGCAGCGGGGGAGTATCTCCACCCTGTTCTTCGTGCATTCCAGAGTCTTGAGCTTTCAGAGGGGGAGCAACTCCACCCTCAGCTTGTGAAGACCCAGGCTGTTCGCTGATTCCCAGATCGAAACCCAGAGCCGCAAAGGAGTCTCGCGTCTGCTGAAGAGGAACCTCCAACATTCCGCTCCACTCCCTGAGGTACTCACCAAGGCCCAACGTGTCCTGAGTGGGGATCTGGATCAGGATTGCCCTGATCTTCACGGACTTATACGACTGTATCATCTGGTTCGTCTGCTTGCCTTTCTTCAGCGAACCGGATGAAGCTGCTTCAACTTCAATCATGGGACGCATGAAGAAATGTTTCGGTCCCACCCGCACGAACGAACTATACCCAGCAGCGAGATGGCGATTAACGGCCCTGTGCAAATAAACTCCAGGGCGGTCCGTGAAGCTGCGGGTTCCTTCCAAGGCAGGAGTGGAGGGAAGAAGACGGCCTACGGCCAAAATGCCGTGTAGGCACTCCAGATGCGTGCCGTGATAGGCTATCTCGCTGTTCCCAGCCGGCAGAAGGTTCGGCGAGTCGAAGGCGAAGCGAAACCAGCCCGTTTCGGCTCACCGGCGAGGCCCTTCCTTGACGCTAGAAAGGTAGTCAGAAGAGCATTTGCTATCGCCTCAGTGGGAGCACTCACCGCTGTTAGGCCCTCCTTCAGCTGCTTGGTCACCGAGACGGCAATTCTGTGATGGTTCAAATCCGTCACAGAGCCTGCACAACCTGACACCTGGTCCGGGAAGGCAGTGTAGCCCGCCCCTAAAAGGGTCTTTTGGGCTTTCGCATCCCTAGCCACCTCCGCCTTCGACACTGAAGGATCAGGAGGCTGCAATTCACTGCTCCGAGCTTTTGCTGCCGGGGGAGTATCTCCACCCGCTCCCTCCCCTGGATTGCGCTTCCTAGAGGGAGGAGGAGGGGGAGTAACTCCACCGTTCCCTTGTCCTCCTTCCGTGCTTGCTCCACTCCCAGTGGAGACGCCCTCATTGGAGGGCGTCGGCTCACCATGAGCTCTTGCCGACCTCTGCCATTGGCGAAGCCAGTTGCGGTACGAGACCAGCGGTAGCTGGTCTCGTTTTCGCTGTCTACAATACTGTGCATATTCCTCCTGATAGGAGGGGTCCTGCACGGATCTAGGCATGCCTGCGTCTCTTGAGAGGAGGCTGACAGTCAGAATGCATGATGGCTCTAAGCAACATGTGCGATTTCTGAACTAGATGCCTGATAACCCACGGCGGCCAAGGCTCCGACGCTCGCTAGCTCTCTCCATGCTTCGGGGAGAAACTCCACCTTTGCTCATTCTGGGAGGCCAGGGGAAAGCTGAACTGCTGCAGAAGAGTGCCAGGGAGCTGGCCAACAGGCGGAACCAGCTGGTGACCTGCAGAGGGCAGGCTGCCGGAGTTCATCATAAACGTATGGCAGAAGCAGACACTTAGTCTCTTTGCATCGATGCTCTTGGAAAGAGTCAGAGTTTAAAAAGACCCTAAGGGGAGTTGCTCCACCAGAGACACTCTACTGAAAGAGTCTCCATCTCTAGGGGAGAAGCTCCTCCTAGAAGGCAACACATCGAGGGAGCAACTCCTCTCTTCTCCAACATCACCTCTCAGCTCGGAAAGGTGACTGTTCACAGGTCCTGCACCTGAAAGCGAGGTAGAGCGGCATCCCAAGTAGCCATGGCCACATTGAAGACTCTGTCTTCTGCATAAAATACAGAGCGGAGATTCTCCGTCTCCTGAATGTAGAGAGTCTTGAGGTTCTCCGGCAAGAACCCGGACGCATATGCAATGATGTGCGTCTCCCGCTGAAGCCACGACATGTCATAGCGGTGCATGGACAAGCTGGCGGGGGCCACAAGCTCACCCCTCCCCCCTTGGGCCAGAGTCAGATAGACCATTGCTCGGTCCGTCAAGGCCCGTCGACGGCGGGCCCTTATCTCATCCCATTCGGCCACCCCCACTATGGAGATGCGATGAGATGTCTCACCACCTGAGTGACGCCTTCGGCCTGGAGCAACTCCACGGCCAAGTTGAGGATCTGGTCTTTGGTGACCAATGCCAGCGCATGAATACGCCCTTCGAGTTCCGACATCACTGCCCGGGGGAGTATCTCCAAACCCTGGGACTTATAGTGAAGATATAGGAACGACGCAATGGTCGGAATGAGGAGCCTGGCCAACTGAGTTGGGCTCTGCTCGTACGGCATCTTCAGAGGCGCAGTCTGGAAACCTGAAGAGATTGAGCCAAGATGTCACTGCACGTGTGACTGTAGTGGCTATCCGAAGGCAGGCTCAAGTGAGGCTGTGCAAGCGGGAGGGCCTCCTCGCTGCAAGTAACGATGCTGCAGCCGCAGTCCTCACCACAGCGAGTGGAGCTGGTTTGAGGCTCAAACGTTGGGCACCTTTGTTTGAGGCAGATGTAACCAGGCTGGCCCACTCGTGGGGCCCGTCCGATTAGATCCAATCCTTCGGATTAGATCACGAAAGAAGGTCGCGAATCTGACGGACAAGCGGAGAGGGTTGGGTGCCTTGCCGCTGAAAGTCGCAGTTGAGAAGTGAGAAAGCAGAGCTACCGACTAGTGACTGAAACGTGTCCAGCAGCTCAGAGGTCGAGGCCCGGACCGAGAGTTGAATCTGAATGCGAACCGGGCCGCCGGACATGTGCTCTGTCAGAGGCCTTGAGGTCCTGATCAGCCGAACGTGTTCGGGATCCGACGAGATGCGTGCAATAGCATCGCCGAGGCCCGAAACAACCTGAGCGGTGGTGAGCGGCTCCTCCAGAGTTTCTGTTAGCTTCTCCTCTGAAGGTGTCCATTCGAAGAAGGGCCATTCCCCATCCTGATTCAACACGCCATCTGCCTGGAGGCGCTCTTGAATGGCCTTGTCTTTGCTGGTGAGAACCAGCCTATCCTTGAGCTCACGCAAGAAACGAAGTGTCAGAGCTGCCCGGGGAGGCAGGCTCGCAGGAGAAGCTTTGATCTTCTGGCTTTCTTCGTACAGCTGAGGCAATACTGAGTGTTCATCCGTCCGAGCATAGGAAACGAAGGTGACATCGGAAGCAAGCGCAGTGATTTGTTCGTCATGCCTGAGCGCTAGCCTGGCAATTGCCACCACTAGATCTGAAGATGCCTGGAGCTGTCGATCAGATTGAATGCCACGTCCGTCATCTTGACGCCTGCGACTGGACTTGCCTGTGCCCCGCCCTCCAGAACCACGCCCCGGTCTGTTGGAGCCTTGGCTGCGGCCACCTCCTCGCCCGCGGGGAGCACCTCCACCGCGTAGCCTCTTCAGGGGAGAACCTCCTCCTGTCATTTGCTCACCTCTCTTAGGTGACACGCTCTCGTCCATCCCCGCCTGCAGGAACATGTCCTTCAGCGACATCCGGAGGATCTTCTGAGCGAAAATGGTCTGAGGAAAAACTGCGGGTGAGGAAGAGCACATAGCAGTTGTTAGTAACTAACGGATGGTCAAAAGAGCATAAAGAGCATAATGAAGGAGGCTTGGAATCGTCACCTAGATACCAGCTGTCTTCCTTCCGAACTAGGGCACGATAGTGACCTGAGGTAGCTTCCTCCCCGAGATGAAGCACAATCGCCTGAACCGTGTAATCTGAGAATCCGACATGGTCAGTGAGATTTGTAAACACAGGCACTCGCAGGACTGAGGGAACCGTGATGCTGGCAAGATCTTTAGCTACACCCTCGAACCGAGGCAGCACAAGGCACAAATGCAGAGGTTCCTCGATTAGTGCACAGACCGGCTCCTGTGATGACCATGCATTGACCGTGTGCTGCACGGTCAACCTGGCAGCAGTGGTGATATGAATAGGAGCTTCACCCTCCTCGTCTACGATAATGCCCTCCGGAACTGCTGCGCGGGACTCCCAACGTCCCAGATTAGGCTCAGAGAGGTTCCTAAGAACCTGATGAATGAATTCTGCTGAGTCATGTTGACCTCCATCGAACATCCAGCCTTGAGTCAATGCTGAGAGTGATGAATGTTCAGGTGTGATGCGAACTAGCTGACTCAAACGTGACGCCTCCTGGAAGTGTGCTGGGCCTAGGACCCAGTGCATGCACTGCAAGCCTGCGTTCGCGTAGCAATGGTTGCGTGTGTTCGCTAGAAGGAAGATGGGTTGGGAGCTTCCAGGTTGGGAGCCCTGAGACTGAGCCTTAGCGGTTCTAGTTTTAGGCGTATAGTCTCTGGGCTGCTTAGGTAATCCGAGTCGTGCTACCTCCTGCATGACGTGCGTCTGCAGAAGGGGAACGCACTGTTGCACGTGTCTGCCTGGAGCATCAACTCGAAACTTGCAATATCTGCAGGAGTCGCCTTTATGGAGAAACACCTTAAACTGAACGAGCCGCGGAGAGATGACCTTTTCCACGGCGGTCATCACCTCAGGATGCTGTTTGTTGAGGTGCTGCTTGGCTCACTTCTGGCCAGCAAGGGTTTGGCCACAGAGAATACAATGCTCAAGTAGATAGCTGTGATAGTCCGGGTTTCGTGCCGCCCCACCTGGATCAGTCGCTGAGTCTGCCTGAAGCGTTTTGGTGAGCTCCAGCCGCGCCTGTGCCTCAATTGGTAACTCTTCCTGATGGCGCACAAGTAGCTCCACTTTGGGACAGGTGGATGTCTCCACATGCTTGCGGAGAGAGAAGACAGTTTTGAAGGAGGCTCCACAAGCTACGCAGGCAGCTGTTCCCGGCAAAGAATGAACAAGCGGATCAAATTTGGGTCCGCAGAGGTTGCGCTGGGAGGCCGGATGTGCCTTCTTCAGGTGACGGCGCAGGGCACCCATGCCTGAGAGGCATGCTCCGCAGTCCTGGCAAGTTAGGAGTTTGTCCTCAGCCGGAGTGGCGGAGAAGTCCTCAAGGAGTCAAGGAGAGAGTCTAAAGATTGACTCAAGGAGATGGCCCTTAGATGATAGTGAGGCAGTAAGAGAGGGTCTGACGTCTGCTGGCGTTGCAAAAATTGCTTCAGACGCTTCTGCAACTGGGTCTTCGAGTGGGGTATCTTTATCCGCTGGAGCAACTCCTGGTTGGATTCCTTCGTTCTTTGGGAGTAACTCCTCAGAACGAATCGCAGCTGATACATCATGTGCGAATGTAGTTGCTGCAGTCCCTGCTGAGTGACCCCGACTACATGCAAGGCATAAAGAGCGGAGGCCCAGGCCGTAATGGTCCAGATAGACAAGCGACGCTTATCAGAAAGGACCCTGTGATTCCGCACGGCGTGCGCTACCTCGGACATGGCTTGTTTGCTGGCGGCCAAGCGGTGCTTCAGCGTGCGCATCTCATAGTCCTGATATGATAGAATGATCCCAAGGTACGGCGTTTGATATTTTAGGGAGATTAGTCTGCCAGACGGAAGCTCTACATACTTGGTACCCTCGACCGTTTCTGACCGTGGAGGCTGAGCCCCCTTGGAGCTGAAACAACATGGCCGATTTCGACGGATTGACCTTAAAGCCGAGAGCTTCCAGCTGATCCAAGAGAAGGTCGCAGTGACGGAGGGCAGTCTGCAGACCTAACTCGGAGTTGAAGTGCGCCTGGATCAGACTATCGTCAGCATACATCGTAAGCAGCTGAGCCAACTCCTCAGGACTCAGGTGTGCAGAGAGCTTCCTATACAGGAGTCCTGTCGCAAACGCAAAGAGGGAGGGAGCTAACTTACAACCCTGTTTAATTCCCCTTCGGGTGGCAACAGCAAAGCTCTGATCATTAACTGTCATGCGATATAGAGCTTGAATATGAAGGCGCCCTACTACTTCTATCAGAAGTGGATCGGCACTTGCCGACTCCAAGGCCTCACGCAGTCGAACGCGATCTACCATATCAAACGCCTTACTCATGTCGACGCTCATGGTCAAGCTGCCCTGGAGCTTCAAGCCCTGAAAGCCTTTGCCCAATGTTTTCTGCTTATTGGCCTGCCTGAAGCGAGCCTGATCCATGTGTGTCAAAGCCTTGCAGATAGCCTCCTCAGTGCCTCGGCCCGGAACAAAACCGAACTGCGAGACCCCGGACATGGCCTGCTGGAGGGTGAGCTTCAGTCTCTTTCTGACGAGACCAGCGAGAATCTTTCCCTCGGGAGCAATGACGCCGATAGGTCTTAGGGAGGCTGGTTTGTCCGGTTTCTTGGGTGGCTTCGGCAACCAGGAGATCTGCGATGAGGTGATTCCCTCTGACAGGTCTCCGGAGGAGACCTCTTGGTTCAAGGTGTCCGCTATGAGCTGAATCGCCTGTGGTCCTAGAGATCTCCACGCTACTACTGGAGGACTGTTCCTGGGAACTGCCTTACCCAGTTTGATTGTACTGAGCTGCTCCCTCACCTCGGAGGACGTAATGCAAAGATGGCCTGACGCTCCTGCCAAAGGAAAATCGGTGCCTGTTCCAAAGAGATCTTTCGAATATTCTTCCAGCTGCCGTTTCTCTTCTGAAGCTGTGAGAAACCGGCCTTCAGCATCCCGAAGCTGAACTTTGTCCTGAGGCTTACCTGATCGATATTTCTTAATCACCTTGTACAGGGAGTGACTACCATCCTGTTTGGATTTGTGCTCTGCTTGTTTAAGCTGATCGTCTACTTCTTGCTGCCGTCTCTCTCGCTTAAGCTTCTTCGCATTCCTTGCTTGGCAACTTTGCCTCGAGAAAGTGCTCCAACACTTGAAGGCCATTCTGACTTTGAAGTGAGGCAGATAATCCGACATCACCTGCAGTGTAAGAGGAACAGAGCGTAGAATCATGCGTTCCTCCCAGATACTGTCTGTAACCTGACTATGTGAAACTCTCTGCTTGGGGAAGAGAGCTTGCAACGCTATAGGCTATAGTCATTGAGTGTTGTAGAGAGGACAAGGTTTGCGGGAGATCCTCCAGCATTGAGTCCACCTGCGCCGAGTAATCTGA